TGATGAAAACTGGCTCTTAACATAGAATGACCTACTTTGTTCTTTACTCAACATAGAATGACCTAGTCTATTACATTAATTACTTAACATACAATGACTTAGTCCATTGCATTCATCACTCAACATAGAATGACCTACTATATTCTTTACTTAACTTAGAATGACCTAATACATTCTTTACTTAACATAGTATGGCCTAGCGTACTACATTAGTTACTTAACCTAGAATGTCCTACTACATTATTTGGTAGTAGGACATTCTATGTTAAGCATTAGTTACCTAACATAGAATGTCCTACTACATTATTCACTTAACATAGAATGTCCTACTACATTATTTGCTTAACATAGAATGTCCTACTACATTAGTTACTTAACATAGAATGTCCTACTACATTATTTATTTAAAATAGAATGTCCTACTACATTATTTACTAAACATAGAATTTCCTACTACATTATTTATTTAACATAGTATGGCCTAGCGTACTACATTAGTTACTTAACCTAGAATAACTTGCTACATGATTTACTTAACATAGAATGTCCTAGTTTATTACATTAATCACTTAACTTAAAGCTTAGAGCATTATCTTTTGGGGATATTATAATTTTATATCCCCCGTTTATTTGCTCCAGGACAGTAAATGATACATAGATAGATAAGAACATACAAACTCACACAACTAATCCATCATGTTTTTATTTCAACTTAACAATAATTAAAGCAAATGTCGCTAAAAATTATGATCTATTGGTTCTGAGGAACCAATCATCTACCTTAATATTTCAGCCAATTTTCCAACACTAGTTTCTGGATATTAGAATTACTTAGTGCATCAGAATAGCCTACAACTTAAGCTACCTTTTCTGTATTCCTATTAAGGTTAATAAAATAACGGCCAATATCACCAAAATGTAGCTTTTGTTAACTCAATATTTCGCTATTATCATGAATTATCGATATCATACAAGTTCACTAAACTGGAACACCGATAGTACTGTATAATGCCACACCAATACTGTTAGAATAACCTACTGTATAATTCCACATCAGTATTGTTAGAGTAAATTATTGTATAATTCCACACCAATACTGTTAGAATAACCTACTGTTTAATTTCACATCAGTATTGTTAGAGTAACTTATTGTATAATTCCATACCAATACTGTTAGAATAACCTACTGTATAATTCCACATCAGTATTGTTAGAGTAACTTATTGTATAGTTCCACACCAATACTGTTAGAATAACCTACTGTTACGACAGCGGAAGTCACGTGATACTAGTAACACGTGATGAGTATCTAGAAGATTCACGAAGATACGAGATATTCGCTTTTATCGTATATAAGCCGGCAAATAAAGAGACGGCGAGAATATAGTTCCAAATAGAGAGAGATTGAAGATATAGACACTGATAATCGAGTCAAGCGGGCACCGTAAGTAAAGTGCGTGAATCGTAGTGAATTATAACGTTAGTTTAAGCGAAAGTGACTGTGGAAATTAAGTGTATTACAAAGTTGAATTGAGAAAGAATAAACTAGTTTTATTTAAGAAAGGACTTATATCGCAGAAGTTTCTGCGGAAAGAATTTCTATGGAAAATTAACAAACGAACACAGGCGTAACACTACTGTATAATTCCACATCAGTATTGTAAGAGTAACTTATTGTACAATTCCACATCAATACTGTTAGAATAACCTACTGTTTAATTTCACATCAGTATTGTTAGAGTAACTTATTGTATAATTCCACACCAATACTGTTAGAATAACCTACTGTATAATCCACATCAGTATTGTTAGAGTAACCTACTACATCGTTCCACATTGATTAAGAGCATGCCTTCTGTAGCTGTTTTCGACTCAAGAACTCTGTTGAACTTCTCCCGCTGTATGTCCAGTTGAGTAGAAATCCATTCTCTACTTGGAGTTACCAAGGTAGTAGCAGGAGAAATACAGTCATGTGTAGACAAAGCTGCGTTTTCTCCAAAGTCAAAAACTATCCTCATTTTAGAATTTTGTAGTTCAATGATGTTCAAGTCTTCACTATCCTAAATACATCAGTTAGAAAACATTATACTCACCCTACGAGGCAAGAAAAAAAAACAATTTCTCAAAAAAAATTAAGTAGAATCTTTATAAAATACCTCAGATGAAATAACTTTATTATATAAATACGTCATCAGATAAAAATCATGAAAACATATTTAATCATTAGGGTAAAGATGTGATCAGTATCGTAGTTTCTACGATGTTTAGAACCTTTAGGTTTAATCAGTAAGGCAAAGATGTGATCAGTATCGTAGTTTCTGCAATGTTTAGAACCTTTATATTTAATCAGTAAGGCAAAGATGTGATCAGTATCGTAGTTTCTGCAATGTTTAGAACTTTTAGATTTAATCAGTAAGGCAAAGATGTGATCAGTATCGTAGTTTCTGCAATGTTTAGAACCTTTAGATTTAATCAGTAAGGCAAAGATGTGATCAGTGTCGTAGTTTCTGTGATGTTTAGAACTTGTGGATCTAATCAGTAAGGTAAAGATGTGATCAGTATCGCAGTTTCTGTGATGTTTAGAACTTGTGGATCTAATCAGTAAGGTAAAGATGTGATCAGTATCGTAGTTTTTGTGATGTTTAGAACTTGTGGATCTAATCAGTAAGGTAAAGATGTGATCATTATGGTAGTTTCTGTGATGTTTAGATCCTTTATATTTAATCAGTAAGGCAAGGGTGTGATCAGTGTCGTAGTTTCTGCAATGTTTAGAACTTGTGGATCTAATCAGTAAAGCAAAGATGTGATCATTATCGTAGTTTCTGCGATATTTAGAACTTAGAGATTTATTCAGTAAGATAAAGATGTGATCAGTATCATAGTTTATGCACGTGAAAACTTTAACAAGGTTTACTTGTACAGTTTATGAACGTGAAAACTTTAGCAGTTTACTTGTACTGTTTATGCACGTGAAAACCGTAACACAGTTTATTTGTACAGTTTATGCACGTAAAAACTTTAACAAAGTTTAATTGCATAGTTTATGAACATGTAAACCTTAACATTGTTAACTTGTACAGTTTATGCACGTGTCAATCTTAACATAGTTTAATTGCATAGTTTATGCACGTGAAAACTTTAACAAGGTTTATTTGTACAGTTTATGCACGTAAAAACTTTAACAAAATTTAATTGCATAGTTTATGCACGTGAAAACTTTAACAAGGTTTATTTGTACAGTTTATGCACGTAAAAACTTTAACAAAGTTTAATGGCATAGTTTATGAACGTGTAAACCTTAACATTGTTTACTTGTACAGTTTATGAACGTGTAAACCTTAGCATAGTTTACTTGTACAGTTTATGCCCGTGAAAACTTTAGCAGTTTACTTATATGTTTAGAACGAGAAAACTTTAACACAGTGTACTTTAAAGTGTCGAACGTTATAAATTCCTCAAAGTCACGTAAACAAAAAGAACGAATAAGCTTCATAAACAAGTAACTAAATCAATACAAATAACAACATTTATACAAGTAATTATATTTATACAAGTAACTATATCAGTACAAGTAACTACATCAATACAAGTAACTATATCAATACAAGTGACTACATTTATTCAAGTAACTACATTTATACAAGTAACTAGATCAATACACGACAAGAACATGTTTTGAATGAGCAGAATAAAATATGAAGATGAAAAATAAAAGTAAAATTGAAAATAATAAGTATCTCTCAAAAATACATATAAATATTGAACACAAAAATAAGAGAACAAAATTACTGTAAAAGATATTCTAAACAAAAATGTCATGTAAAAATGTGAATATTGAAAAGAAAAACTTTACTGAACACGCATTTAATAGAAATATAAAATAGTAATAAAATACAAAAATAAATGTGACAGAAATTAAAGGGAATTCATAGTCACTAGGGCATACCCTTCTTATCAGTTTTTTCGTTAAACTGCGCTTAAGAGAAATTAGAAAAATAACACTTAATGGGACGGACAAAAAAGAATAAAGGCGTAACTTTAGAGGAGCCTGAAATCTTAAATAAATTGCTACGACACGTGTTACTGTTTAAGTGTGGAATCAAACAGAAGGACATTACCAATAATACAGCTAAAACTAATGGTAATGAAAATATTAAATAATATGAATACCTGAATACAAAGAAAAACAATATGTTATACATACTGTAAGAGGTGTCTAATACAACTATTCCCATTTTAACGCCCTCCCCCACAGTAGCTCAGTGGTACTTCTGAAGGCTTACAGTGCTAAAAACCGGGTTTCGATACCTGTGTGGCACGACGCAGATAGCCCTTTGCGTAGCTTTGCGCTTAGCAACAAATAAACAGACAAAAAACCACTTTAAGTAACCTCTGTCACTTAACAAAACACATGGGGCAGGCAACTGGAAATAATAAACACTTAAATAACAAAACTAATCTAACTTAACTAATGAAATACTATCATAACACACATGGAGCTGTTATATAGCTTGTGTTGACTACACGTAATTGTAACTAATCTAACTTAACTAATGAAATACTATCATAACACACACACGGAACTGTTATATTGCTAGTATTAACTACACGTAATTGTAACTAATCTAACTTAACTAACGAAATACTATCATAACACACACGGAACTGTTATATAACTAGTATTAACTACACGTAATTGTAACTAACGTAAGGTAAAACAAAGTCAGTCAATATGCTGAATATTTCCTTAATAAAGTCGTGATATTCTATAAACTTCTAAACTCATAACTAGTAGCAAGAATATTCTTGAATTTCTCAAAAAACTCAGTGAATTTTGTAAAGAATGCGAATGACTTTACGAGTTCTTTCCAAGTCTAGCAATGTTAAATAAATTCTATTGTATCTAATACGCTGAAAGCAATGAACATTGGATATGGAATATTTGAATTCGGAAACGAAAATTTCATAATTACAATGTTGAAAGCGTTTATATTTAAATCCAGATATTGTACATTGTTTTTAGTGGAAGACTTTTTCCAGTGTGACCTCTGGCGGATAAATTTGTTTGGGTGTGTCTAGAAAATCTTGATATTTCGGTATAAGAATATAATATATAACGCGACTGATGTGCAAAACGTCACTCTGGCCTTTATTACTGTAAATTGTTATGAACGAAAAATTAAATCCGAATAACTATAAACTTGCAACGTGTGGGATGATATTACCTCCCATTGTAACACCTTGTATTTCTTGAAAGACATGTTGACCAAGTTATACAAATATGTTGTGAAGTAAAAAATACAAAGCTTACAATATTTCATTTAATAGGAGACAGTAGTAATTGTTGTGAGTGACACAGAAACATTGTGGTTACTGATGCAAAGTAGTAATCATTAAATGACCTTGAAATTATTGACGAAATAATCTTTTTAATATTATCAATAGGAAGAGTGGTGTAAGATTGCTGTTATAGCTTCAAAGCCTTTAATTCTCTCTTTATATTCACTGGAAGTAATGACGACAATGGGTGGTTTAAATATCACAGTAAATTCTCTTCAATGTATGTTAGACTACTACCTACTTGAATTGTCAAATCCTTACTCGTAGTTTTTTTTTTTTACCGGAAACGAACTTGTATTTGTGCAATGTTTTTATCTATGATTCACACTATAAGATTCAGCCGCATGTACACCAGAGTTTGATAAAACTAAAATGTGATAAATAAATTATATTTTAACGTGCTTCTTGTTTGTTTGTTTAATTATGCACAAAGCTACACAAGGGCTATCTGTGCTCTGCCCACCACGGGTATCGAAACCCGGTTTCTAGCGTTGTAAGTCCGGAGACATACCGCTGTGCTACTGGGGGGTAACGTGCTTCTATACATTGTTTGTTTGTAATTATGCACAAAGCTACACAATGGGCTATCTGTGCTCTGCCCACCACGGGTATCGAAACCCGGTTTCTAGCGTTGTAAGTCCGCAGACATACCGCTATGCCACTGGACGGCGTTTCTATACATCTTTACCCTAAGTTTTTGTGTTAACCCTAGTTCTTTACATAGTTGTAAAACGTTTTACAAATGAAACGCGACCCAGCATGGCCAGGTGGTTAGGGCACTGGACTCGCAATCTGCGGGTCGCGGGTTCGAATCCCCATCAAACCAAACATGCTCGCCCTTTCAGCCGTGGGGGCGTTATAATGTGACGGTCAATCCTACTATTCGTCGGTAAGAGTAGCCCAGGAGTTGGCGGTGGGTGGTGATGACTAGCTGCCTACCCTCTAGTCTTACACTGCTAAATTAGGGACGGCTAGCTCAGATAGCCCTCGCGTGTCTTTGCGCGAAATTCAAAACAACCAACCAATGAAATGAAGTTATTAAATGTTTTATTAGCGGAAGTCATGAAATATCTACTGCGTAATCCAGTGATTCTGAACGTAGGGCTCACGCCCCACAGGGAGGCAATTTGAATATGCTACAATAAGAATTTTTTTTCATATGGATGTGAAGAGCGAAAAACGTTCCGTGACTCAAAACTAAATTTTACATTATATTATTATACATTTTCAACACCAAATCTGTTTTTACATTAAAGGAACATCAATTTTTTTGAGGTGTCAAGGTGGGGCATGGAGCAAAAAAGGATAAGAACTACTGGTGTAGACATTCTAAGTATGTTCGTTGTTGTTAAAAGTGAATTTGTATGAGCATATCGTGTCACTTTTTTTTTAATTTATATAAAACTATGCAAAATGTTAGATTTTATAAATATTTACATAATGTTACGACAGCGGAAGTCACGCGACTCTGGAAGCATGTGCGCTGGAGTTTCTCGAAGGATTATGAATTTGCCCGCCAGCTCGAGTGTGATCTAAATGCCCTTCTTTTTTTTTTTTTTTAGTATATATAAGCCTGGCAAAGAAAGCTAGCGGGGAGAGATAATTGAGTCAAGCGAACAGTAGG